CCACCACGAAGTCAGAGGAATTGGGAATCGCACCGTCAGCTGCTTCTGCTTCGCCGCAATGTGTGGGCTGACGGGCTCGTCGAATTGGTACAGACACTTGGTCAGCGTGCCCGGGGCGTAGCGCCGGATGTGTCTGGGCTAGTAGTGAGCGGGATGAAACTCGGGGCTGGGGGCCTTGATTTATGGTATTACCGGTCATCTGCATCATCTAAGGGGCCGGTCGACACCGGTTTCAAGAAAGCCGCGGGCGATTGAGAGTTGAGGCGCTGGATGGCATTGCAGAGAACGGTGGATACAATGGTCTTGCCGACGTCGGTGTTGGCACCGTAGACCTGGTGGGCGCGCAGGGAACGCCAAAGGGCGGCACCGACGGGGGGCATGGGAGGCAGCCAAGGGAAGAATTAGAGAATAGGAGAATATAAGAATAGTAAATATATATAAAGAAGCAAGGGGAAAGGGGAGGACAAGGAATTGGTACTTTATTATGTACCAAGTATATGGCTATCACGAAAGTCACTCTCACTCTTTTACTAAGATAAGGCGGATTGACAGCGGGATATGCAACCTGCAAGGCGGAAAATAGCCGAGGCAATCAATGAGGCACTCAGGCAGCGGGCCACTATTCCTTAGGCATCCAGCCAGAGGTTAAAATAATTATCATAATAATATAATAAAACTGGGCAGTACTTTAGTTAGTACGTAGCAGTCAACTAATCTACCAACTAACTAACCAGTTAGTTAGGTTAGTCTACCCTCCCCACCGGTTGAATCCTTGATCTCCCAACAGTAGTCTAGTCAACCCACAACATCCGCCGAATGGGTTCAATTTCTGTTATGTTATGTGATTTCAATGCCGCATCTGCTTGTTCTTCTCCGTCCCGAGGTATCCATCCATTTCCCACCTTTTTTTTTCTTGTCTCTCCTGGATCACTCCGAAAGCCCCATAACGCTAGAGAGCCACCAGAAAACCAATGGAAAATCTGGCAGCTCAGGCAACCAACCAGCCCATCTGTTGTGATTACGGAGATTACCTCTGTATCCCGATGGCTGGCTAAGGCCAATTCCACCCGGTAACCACTACTAGTCTAACTACTGCTACTAATCCAGTTGAACTCCGTCAGGCACACGCCCTGCTGGATGGTTGGATCCACCCCGGTAATCAGTTGGCAGTTGGTGTGAAAATCCCCTCTCTCTCCACGCCTTTCCGGTGTGATGGGAAACTAATTGATTAGTCTAGTTCTGTTGTTTGGTAAGGAGAACGGCGGAGATCTGGCCGGATTCACATTCATTTTATCTATCTGTATATCTACTAGCTATCTAGTGTCAACATTTCCCCCGGAGATAGTGTTGATACTATATCTGATATTCCAATTCAATCTCAACTCACTACTCACTCAGTTCAATTCAATTCCTCTCCCCTTTACTCTTCTCCCTCTTCTCTAAACAGCAATCACTAAACCCAATTGCACTCCCTCACCCTCCCCTCACATACACATACACACACACATACACTTACACAATGCCCCCCTCCACCCCCAATCCCAATTCAAATCCCACACCCACCCTCCTCACCTCCCTCCGCACAGCCCTCCAACACCGCAAATCCAAGAACTCCCTGCGCCGCCTAACCCTCATCCCCCCCACCTCCACCGACTTCTCCTCGAACGACTTCCTCTCCCTCAGCACCTCCCCCCTCTTCCGCGCGCGCTACACCACCCACCTCTCCAGCGCACCCCCCTTCTACCCCTTCGCCTCGGGCGGCTCCCGCCTCCTAACCGGCAACTCGCCCTACGCCGAAGCCCTAGAGACCTTCATCGCGAGCTTCCACAACGCGCCCAGCGGGCTGCTCTTCAACTCGGGCTTCGACGCAAACGTAGGCGTGCTCTCCTGCATCCCGCAACCAGGCGATGTTATCATCCACGATGAGTACATCCATGCGAGTGCGCACGAGGGGATGCGGTTATCCCGTGCCGGGAAGAAGGTTCCCTTTGCGCATAGCTGTCCCCAGTCCTTGGAAGATGTGCTAAGAAGGGAAGTGGAGAGTGATGAGCTAGTGCGGAGCGGTCAGCGCAATGTGTTCATCGTCATCGAGAGTATATATAGTATGGATGGGGATATCGCGCCGATAAGGGAGTTCGTGGATGTGGTGGAGAAAGTGATGAAGGGTGGTAAGGGCAATGCCAATGCGTATTTTGTCGTTGATGAGGCGCATGCTACCGGGGCGTTTGGGCCGAGGGGAGCGGGTGTGGTGCAGGAGTTGGGGCTCGAGGAGAAGATGTTTATTCGCGTGCATACGTTTGGGAAGGCGTTGGGGAGTCATGGTGGTTAGTACTATCCATTCCTGTTTCTGTTTGGTGTTGTGGTTGGGGGGTATGGGTTATACTGATTTTGATACTGTGTTAGCGATTGTGCTCTGCTGCCCAGACACACGCGAATACCTCATCAACTACGCCCGCAGTCTCATCTATACTACCGCATTGGGGTTCCCGTTCCTGGCGTCGATTCGGACGGCGTATGAGATGTTGGCGGAGGGGGAGACTGAGGAGGTATGTTACTTTCCTTAATACTTAACTTTTATTGAGTGGAGTGTATAGCTAACTGTATCAGCTACAACGCAATCTGCAACACCTCATTGAATATCTGGGCAATCGTCTAGATGCCCTTGGGTCCTGGGACCCAGCTATCTTTGAAGTGGACCATTTCCCGCGCTCGCCTATCTTCTCGCTGCGCAGTCCGGTACCGCGCCAATTGGCGGCCGCGTGTCAGCGGAAGGGGTTCATGGTGCATCCGATTATGTCGCCGACTGTACCCAAGGGGAAGGAGAGGGTGAGGGTGTGTTTGCATGCGGGGAATACGGTCGAGGAGATTGATGGGTTGGTGGAGACGATTTTGGCGTGGTTGAATGGAAGGGAGAGTGAGAAGAGGGTGGCGAGGCTTTAGTTCATTTGCCATATCTTCTTAGATATATCGGTAATTTTATAGATATACCGCGGAAGATGGAGAAGACATTGGGCTGTACATATTATTAGCTGCATTTAGGAAATATCTGATCATATCATATCATATCATATCAAGCCATGTTGTAATCCCAGTCCTGTAACTCCGTGGCCATATTCCTATTCCTCCCTTCCAGTGTAAACTCCATGTAAGCCATGAGAAGCGTAGTACCGTGGATATCCTTCCAGTTACAAAGAAAATAAACTCCCGTTATGCATTCTATCCCTCCTTCCAGTTTCCTGTTACCTCATCACCTAATGAATCCAGTAGTTGCGGCAGGTCGGGCAGGTCGGCTCCAGGGTGTCAAAGGTGTCGAGCCACTGTTCCAAGCATGCCCGGTGGTAGTTGGTCCCGCAGAATCCCCGGCACCAGACCAGCAAGCTGTGATCGTAGTCTGGACCGGCAAGCTCTTCGTCTACATTCACTGTACGTTAGCACTGTTCAATCATCAAGTTAATGAAGTCAAGGATCGTACCGTCCATCTCCTCCCAGTCATCGTCCTCATCGTCTTCGGTTCTCTCATCGTCGGACATGTCGCAGCGCATGCTCTCATCCAGATAGGGGAGAAGACAGATTCCACAGTCGCCATCCACAGGGCGCGGCTTGACCCGTTGAGGCTTCGGAGACGTAGGGGAGTCGCAGTACATAGACACAGTGCTTTCCCCAGACGGAATCGGTCTTGGAGCTGTTTGATGGGCCGGATGAGTATGACCCGAAGCGATCAAGGTGCTGCTGACGAGTTGGACTGCCGGGGTGTGGGGACGATGATGGAACACAGAATTGGCGTGCGGAAGAGGCGGAGCACTGCCGGAAGCTGAAGCTGACATAGTGGTAGCAACGGGATCACCCGCAGGACGGACGATCTCGACTCGGGGTCTTGAGTTCTGTGGGTGATGATGGTTCGCACCCATCCCGACCATGCCATGCTGGATGGTGATTCGGCTCGATGAGCTGGATCCATGATGGCTGGTCGTCAGGTTGGTGACTGCAAGTCCACTACCCGTGGCCATGATGGTGGGGTTGGGCGGCATATGAAGGTAGCTGTTCGACATGGCTGTGGTGGATTCAGCAGATCGCTCAGCTAGATACCGCTGCAGTTTCGCCTCCCACTGGGCGACCAGGGTCAAGTCTTGGTATCGGTGCTGGTTGGGGCAGAGCAGAAGTCTGGCAAGTCCGATGAGAATCGGATCTACAGCGGATATGGAAGAGGTTGCAGCGAAGATGTGGGTGCCTCGTTCGATCAGAGTGTACGCTTCGTCACGCTTCTGATAGCTGATCAAATTGTTGCACCGGCGATTGTAGGAGTGCGAGAGACCGACACAGTGGTGATCAGCTGCAGGGTTAATTTTCAGAATGTCAGCCAACTGATAACGAGAGGCAGACGCCATGACGACGGCGGGATGATTAGTCGCTGACGGGGTGCTTAGTCGGCGAGGGGGAAGAGGAGACGAGGGGAGAGAGAATGACAGTACAGATGGTGCAGACGAAGTTCACGAGTAGCACCGAGAGAAGCGAGAACAGTGAATGACAGTGAATGAACGGGGACGTGAAGAAAGCGCCACGACAGCAGAGGGGCACCCATGTGGTATGGGTCATCATTTCACGTACCTGATTGCTAACTATGCGGAACTAAGCTTCAGGGCCCGATGGAAATGCAGGCGAACAGCACCAGGCACCAAATTCGGGATGAACTCCGGAAAGTGGATGTTGGAAGATGACGATGAGGAGGAGAAAGGCGCAGATGAAAAGGAAGATGGGATGGTAGGGATGGATGGACTCATGCTTATGCCATAATGGCTTCAGCGCAACAAAAAGCGGAAGACTCCGAGACTCCCTCGGCGCGTGATCGAGGGGTTTGGCTGAAGGGATGCAATCCCGGTTAGATGGTTGGTTGGATGGTTTAGTTGGATTGATAACACTCTTGCTTGCTTGTCGGGATCAATGCTTTTATCTGCTTTTTATTATCTGCTGTCTCCCCCTCCTTCCCTTCTCCTCTTTCCTTCCCCGCACGTGGTCCAGATCACATTGTCAACCTTCCATCTGTCCATCACCACCACTCATATTCCATCTCCCACCTCCCCCCATGGATACTTCCCGAGACGTCCCAGACATTCTTATCGTGGGTGCTGGCATCTTCGGGGTCAGCGCAGCCTACCATCTTGCTCTGCAGCTCGAGCGACCGTCACAGATCGTCCTATTAGATCGCGCCGCCCCGCCATCCACCCCCGCGGCTTCTACCGATATAAACAAGATCATTCGTGCCGACTACACCAATCCTCTCTACGTCGCTTTGGGATTCGAAGCTATTGAACAGTGGAAGTCGCTGCCGTTCTTCCAAGATGCACAAGTCTACCACCCCTCGGGATGGATCGCCTTGGAGGAAAAAGATAGCGATGTCCCCGCATTGATAAGGAAAAACTTCCGCGATTATGGTCGCGCCGATGTCATCGAAGAATGGTCCGAAGAGAAAGTCCGTCACGCATGGGGTGGACTACTCGAGAAGACAGACTGCTCCCCGTTTGGCTCATACTACTATAATTCCTCTGCTGGCTGGGCGGACGCGGGAAAAGCATTGCAACTGATGGCACAAGAAGCGATCAAGCTGGGTGTCCGATATGAGGTTGGGGAGGCACGCAGAATCGTTCGTGACGAGAATGGCGTCAGTGGTGTTAAAACAGCAGACGGTACCATCTACCATGCTCGAAAGGTCTTGCTGGCCACTGGGGCATGGACAAGTCAGCTCATGTCCTCAGTGGAGGATGACTTGGACCTGCCGGAGCCAGACCGAGTAGAGCAGCAGGTATCAGCAGCGGGGGTAACAGTCTCGCACTTTCAACTCTCGGAGGAGGAGAAATCCCGCTATTCGGAGCTGCCGGTGTTTGTCTACGGAGGAGAAGGTGGGTTATATCCTGGCCCGGCGTGGACAAGCTGACACATCCAGGCGAGGTGATCCCTCCCACTGCAGAGGGAATCCTCAAGTTCACTACCGCCGCTTCTTTCAGGAACACCATTCGCACTGCGTCTGGACATGAGATTTCGGTGCCGCTGGTAGATCAAGTTCATGTGCCTGAAGCATTGCAGGAAGATCATCTAGGCGCCATTCGACCTCGTTTGCCACAGTTCCTTGAAGACCATCCCCGTCCCGACTACTGGCGCATATGCTGGGATGCAATCTCGCCCAGCCAGCATCCGCTAATTACCCGCCATCCAGACGATCGACTATCCAACTTGTATTTCGCAGTAGGGGGATCATTCCACTGCTACAAATTCCTCCCGACCATTGGCAAATACGTGGTTAACGTGTTGCACGGGGTGTCGAATGGACGCGAAAAGGACGAGGCCTGGACATGGAAAGAGCATCATCCAGATGAAAGAGGAGTGCATGCGCGATTGGTCCCGGTGAGAGAGATTCGAGATGTCGTCTAGAACATAGTACATGGATGCAGCCTGGTGTTTGCCTAAATCGTAACCAGCGGCTCAGGCTTCCGCGGGCGGACAAGCTTGAACCAGGAGAAACAACTCTTCACCGAGAAAGGTATATATCACACTGCATCATCCCCTTTGCGTGCATCACAGCGACCAAAAAGGAAGTCCTTTGATGATTTGTCACCACTATTTCCTCCGATCTACGCCCCACCTAGCCACGAGATAATGCACAATGCCATGGTAGCCAACTAGACATCAAGACACTTAGATAGCTAGGAACAGCATCACACGTGTTACATAGGGGATAAAACAAAGTAACCGATCCGTTGGGGCAAAACACTGGGTCATTGCGAGACCTGGTGGGAACCGCAACGTTGAACCTCACAGAATTATGGATCCTGACGAAGCTTCGCGACCCACTCTGTTCCAAACATTCCTCCCTTCCCCCCAAAAAAGCAATCTGAAGGCCAGCTGTTTGACCCGAGGTTGAGAACTAGAGGGAGGAGGAACAGACCGCACCCCCGCCGCTTGAGCCCTTGGGACAACCGTGATTTGCTCCGCAGCGCCTCCTCCATGATGTCCGGATGCGGAGAGACACACTTAGTAGCCTGGACCGAGGATGTGGTCGGCAATGAAATCTATCTACACCATGTCTTCCCCTCATATCCTGACAATTAATCTAGCCCCATAGCGTTCAGTTATTCCTCTCACAGCATATTTAGCGACATTTTTTGAAGTTGGAAACCGGCCTGACCATGGCGTTAGGTGATCACCCCTTACACCCTTGACATATAGACTATGTACGTCATGTAGCACAGCACTAACATCAATGGCATCACCGCACAGCAACATCAACAGGAGCCGCAGCCCTCGCTTTGGCCGCCTACCTAGATGCCAAATTCCACCTCACCAACGATGCATCCAGTATACTAGCCCAGCGGCGCTCCCTCCGCGACACAGCGAAAGCCGCCGCACAAGGGCAACTGAGCATGTGGCCCGTCTTCGCCGCCACGGCATCGCAGTACCCCGACATGGTCTGTATTTGGACACGCGAACAGTCCTACACATACCGGGAAGCCCTAACCGCCGCAGCCCGCTACGGCCACTTCTACCTGTCGAAGGGGGTGCAAAAGGGCGACCTGGTGGCCTTCTACCTGCAGAACCGGGCGGAATTCATGTTCGCCTGGTTAGGGCTCCTAAGCATCGGATGTGCCCCGGCAACCATCAACTACAACTTGACTGGCGATGCGCTGATGCATTGCCTATCCATCAGCGGCGCCAAGCTGCTGCTGGTTGATCCGGAGGCTGAATGTAGGGCTCGTATTGAGGAGTTGAGATCGACGATCGAGAATGAGCCGGGTATGCAACTCGTCACTGTTGACGACGCCTTCAGTAACCATTTGCTTTCGTTCCCGGCCTCTGTGCCGATGAATGGCCAGTTGGCCTCCCACGTCCCTGGCGAATTTCCCGCCATCCTCCTCTACACGTCTGGCACGACTGGCCTGCCTAAAGGCTGCGCCTTCACCACCTCCCGGCTCTATGCCACTCAGGCCATCCGCAACAGTAACATGACCAACGTGTCTGGCCCCGGCGGGGACAGGTGGTACAGCGCGATGCCGCTGTATCACGGAACGTCAGCGATCGCCATGATCAACAACATAGTTGGCGGACGAAGCATCGCCATCGCGCCGCGATTCAGTGTGCGCAATTTCTGGCCCGATGTCCGGGCCTCTCAGGCCACGGTCTTCGTGTATGTCGGCGAAGTAGTCCGGTATCTACTGGCCGCACCACCATCGCCCCAAGATCGGGAGCACGGGGTGCGCATGATGTACGGGAACGGGCTGCGGCCGGACGTGTGGGAGCGGTTCCGGGAGCGGTTCGGGGTGGCGGAGGTCGGGGAGTTCTTTAACAGCACGGAGGGGGTCTTCGGGCTGTTTAATCTCAATCGCGGGCCGTTCACGGCGGCGGCTGTCGGGCGTCATGGGTTGTTATTGCGGACAAGTTTGAGGAATACATATGTTCCTGTCGTGGTGGATGCAGAGACGGGGGATGCGATGCGTGATGAGAAGACGGGGCTAGTGAAGCGGGCCCCGTATGATGAGGGCGGGGAGATACTGGTCAAGGTGCCAGATGAGAAGGCGTTTCAAGGGTATTGGAGGAATGAAGCAGCGACGAAGAAGAAGTTCATGCGGGATGTGCTGACGAAAGGGGATTTGTGGTATCGGTCTGGGGATGCACTGAGGCGGGATGGGGATGGGAGGTGGTATTTCCTCGATCGGCTGGGGGATACGTTCCGGTGGAAGAGTGAGAATGTGTATGTCTACTCTTACTATCCCTTGCTTTGTGCTTATTTGTCATCGTGGTTGGTGTTGGCTAATGGTAAATTATGCAGGTCCACGGCAGAAGTGGCCCAAGTACTGGGCCGGTATCCTGGCATCCAGGAAGCCAATGTGTATGGAGTGAAAGTGCCTCATCATGAAGGCCGCGCAGGATGTGCGGCCTTATTGCTCAGTCCCGAGGCCCGCAGTGGGTTTGACGGGCAGGGACTGGCCCGGTTCGCGCGTGCACAGCTGCCGCGGTATGCGGTGCCGGTCTTCTTGCGCGTCGTGGAACAGTCATGGCATATTCATAACCATAAGCAGAACAAGGGGCCGCTGCGCCAGGAGGGCGTGGAGCCAGCTAAGTTGGGGTCGAAGGTGGTGCAGGGCCACCGCGACCGGCTGTTTTGGTTGCCTCCGGGGTCGGAGGGCTACATAGAGTTTGGTGAGAAAGATTGGCAGCGTCTCGCGGGGGGTGAGGCGAAGTTGTAAATAGTAGGGGAGCGTATATATGATGATTCATGACCATGCCAATCTATTAAAGCCATTCTGGAGGTCTTATTTATATCTGGGAACGATCGCGATCGGGGAACTGACTCGTGCAGAAGACTGGTCAGATAACAACCCTAAGTCAACCAACAGATGATACCAGAGATATCTACCAAGTACCATGTACAACCAGAGTATTCCGTACTATTCCCGACCACGGCAGCAGCAGACAGCGATCGCACCACGGGATGCCCAAAGCATCATCCCTTGCTGATCAGCACATCTTGCCCTGATTTGTCCGGAGGGAACGTCCGCCGGCCCATCCGTCAGTCACCGCTGGACCAGCGCCCGCTTCAGTTCTAGACTATCACTGACTAGGTAATTAAGTTGTCTGTCAGCATCAGGACTATCCCTTTCTCTTGACCGCTAGCGACCGCGACACGAGGCCCGCTAAGCATTGCACGGGATGATCGGATGCACGAGGAGAGGGGAACAGAAGATCAAGTAGAAAAAAAACCACGCATGCGCTGGGGAGGAGCTTAAGCTGCAGGTCGGATGGATCCTGAATCAGGATGGCTCGAATTGAGTCTGCAAACTAACTAGTCAACTAATTCTCTAGTGGCAAAGACTGACGAAACACCACGCGATAGTCAAGCCCTAAGCCTTTTCTGCTTGGGGGATGCCGATGGCTTCATCCATGAGAGACAGACAGACAGACAGACAGACCCTCTTGGAGTATCCGCTAAGTCGGTGGGTGTATCTTGCCTGCCTGTCTGATTGTCACCTCCACCCCAGTGCTCCACTTGCATGGCATCTAAAAACAACTTCCACCATGGAACATTCTCCGCAACTGCTGCTGCTCACTGCTCGGTAATTTCCCCTGGATTAGCGCGTCGGTCATTCTTCTTCGGTTCTTCCTGCCACGCGATGGCTGCCACTCCACCAAAGGGCACGGCTCCTCTTATAAACCCGCTGGCATTCCTGTCATCCCCATCTCGGATTTCCTCCATCTGCACCTATCCGTCATGTTCTCGGGCCTTCTCCTGCTCCTAGCCAGCCTCGTGGCCCTGCTGTCGGCCGTAGGGAATGCAGCCGTGACTATCAAATCCTCCAACACCACCTGCCGCTGCTTCCCGGGGGAGAAATGCTGGCCCTCACCAGCGGAATGGAATCAATTCAACGAATCCATCGATGGCCGACTAGTCCAGACCATCCCTCTCGGCAAGCCCTGCCACACTCCCTCCTACCAAGCAGGGGTGTGCGACTACCTTCGCGAACAATGGACGGAGCCCGAAATCCAGTAAGCTTTTTCTGTCTTGGGTCAGGCTGACTCGCAGCCTCGTCCTCGCAAAAGCAAACACATCCGCTAACCGAGTCAAGCTATGAATCGTCCTCCTCCATCATGGCTCCCTGGTTCGCCAACGGCTCGTGCGATCCCTTCCACCCCATTGCCAAGCCCTGCACCCTGGGAAACTACATTGTCTATGCCGTGAACGTCAGTCAGCCCAGCCACATATCGCGCGCTCTGGCTTTCGCAACTGCGCACAACCTCCGCGTTGTCGTCCGCAACACCGGCCACGACTATAACGGCAAATCCACCGGCGCCGGCGCCCTCGGCATCTGGACCCATCACCTCAAGGACATCGACATCGTCGACCACCACGATTCCCACTACTCCGGTAAGGCCATCCGTCTGGGCGCCGGCGTCCAGGGCTATGAAGCCTGGGAGGCTGCCGACGCCCACGGCTACCAGGTCGTCAGCGGCGAGTGTCCGACCGTCGGCATCGCAGGTGGCTACTCCCAAGGCGGCGGCCACTCGGCCCTGTCCTCGCGCTACGGCCTCGCCGCGGACCAAGTGCTGAAATGGGAGGTCATTGACGGCACAGGGCGCTTCATCACCGCTACCCGCGACAACGAATACAAGGACCTGTATTGGGCCTTGAGCGGTGGCGGCGGCGGCACGTACGGCGTCGTCTGGTCCATGACCTCCAAGTTGCATACCGGAACGCCTGTCTCAGGCCTAAACCTCACTTTCACCAACGCCAATATCTCCCAGGACACTTTTTACTCGGCAGTAGGCCTCTACCACTCCCTCCTCCCGGCCATCGTCGACGCCGGCGCAATGAGCATCTGGTACTTCACCAACACGACCTTCTACATCGCGCCAATAACGGGGCCCAACATCCCCGTCCAGGAACTCATCTCCCTCCTCAAGCCCTTCCGCGACGGGTTAGAGAAAATGGGCATCAGATACACACTCTACGCAGAGCAATTCCCGACCTACCTGGCTGAATTCAACGGCATGATGCCCAGCATCCCTGTCGGGGAAGCGCAGTACGGCGGATGGCTGATCCCGCGATCAGTAGTGCACGAAAATAACACCGCGTTGACGGCCGCGTATCGCCAGATCACGGAGGATGGGGCGACGTTTATCGGCGTGGGATTGAATGTGTCGAAGGCGTTGGTTGGGGACGTGGATAATGCCGTGTTGCCTGTTTGGCGGGATACGTTAATTGATACGACGCTTACGACGCCATGGCAGTGGGATGCGCGCCACGATATGCTGGTGCAGCAGTATAAAATGACTTATGAGTATTTGCCGTTGTTGGAACGGTTGGCGCCGGATTCGGGGGCTTATATGAATGAGGTATTCTCCCCTGCTACTTTTACTTTCCACCTCCATTTAGTTATTGTAAAAGTGAAGAGAAGACTGACAGAGGTGGAAAGGGCGACTTCCGCCAACCCAATTTCCAAAAAGCATTTTACGGAGTGAATTATCCCCGCCTACGACAGATCAAGAAGAAATATGACCCGCTAGATGTGTTTTATGCCCAAACGGCTGTGGGTTCGGATGAGTGGACGATGTATCCTGATGGGAGGTTATGTCGGGTTTCAACTTCTGATGATAATACGGATGGTTGGGAGTATTTCTAAATGCATTTCATTATTTCTACTTTTTTTCTATTTACTATTTTATGATGTTTATTTATTTTACTTTTGTTTGAGCATATTTTTCATAAGTACATACAGACTTAGTTAGATTTTATACACGTCTTCCTCATGAGTGGCTGGGTAACTTGCCCGTGCCTCATACTTACCCACTATGAAAGTAAAGTAAGTACTCGGGGACCTACCTAATCTTATTTTATTTTTATTACCTTATTGCTAACTCTGGGAGGGTTAGTAGGTGGCTGCCAGGTTTGCGGACTTAATCGGTTCGGGTGTCGGGGTGGTCGGGTATTTTACTTTTTACTGTATGCTGTATGCTGTGGTCCGTAAGTACGGAGTTCACTCTGCTGGTGGTGGGAAATGAGATGTGTATGCACGGATGGGGAGGAGATTAGTGGTGGTGATGCTGCGGGAATAATTAATAGTGCTATAATAGTGTGAGTTATAGCTGGGGTCTCCTGGTTAGTCGAGGAATTAGTAGTACTGTGCGCCTCACTTGTGCAGGAAGGAATAGCAGAAGAAATGAAAGAAATGACAATAATTGGCATAATAATCATTGTTGGATCGGATCATCATGGCTGAATAAACCTAATTAGTTTGTTTTTTGGGTGTTATGATGGTGATGCTGTGTACAAAGTACGCAGAAAGAAAGAAAGTTGAAGGAGGAGAAAGTCGGTTACGTCCACATCCACATGAACAGAACATGAACATGAACATTAACATGCCATGCATGCATGCTCAGGTCCCCGACACACACACACATAGCCGCCCAAGGCAGGCAGATAGATAGATGGATGCCATGGTTCCTCCAGTGTTGGATGATGATCGACACTCCCCCAACTAAAATCAATGTCCACTAGACAAGGGCCTCCCCTGCTAGTTTACTTCCTACTTCTTACTTCCGGCTACACCGACTAATTCCTAACCTACACAGTACACACACAGAGAAACCCCGAAAGTCCATCTAGTTAGTTACTCAAAGGTCACACTGAATTCTTTTCCGGTGAGTATGATTCGTGCTCTTTATCCCCGACGCGATCGGGATATGAAATCACCAGAGATGCGGTACCGTGGATGATAGCTCTTGAAGGTTTAAACCTTGTTTTAGTTGTTTTGATGGGTTATGGATATGGATGTTGTGGTGACAGCATGGGATTATTCGGTGAGATGAGATTTGAATCAATAATAATAATAATAATAATACCCTTGTCCTTGTTTTTCTTTCTTTCTGTGCACATTGCTTTTGTTCTCTACACTAGTTTTACTTAGCTGTCAATCTCCTTGGTAGTTAGTGGACATGATCCGTGCCCTAATTAGTCTGCATAAAGTGGACCCGCGCATTGACCGAGACTTGACCTTTCCCACCTATCAATCATTATTCCCCTCTTCCTCGTGCAAACTCCCATGCAGGCACATGCGTATCTCATCACGAGCCAGCGTCAGGCTCTAGCATTATGCAGAGGGAAAAAAAGAAATGAAAAATAGTACTAAACTCTCATTAGCCTCTGCACACGAACCAGACCTCCACTCCCGGCTGTGTCCTGTTCTGTTCTGGTCCGGGTGCGGCCGTAGACCGTAGATTGAGTTCAGATCAGGTCTGGGTCGACACATCATCCATCAAAATTCCTAATTCCTTATTTGCATAATTAATTTCAGGAGATTGGAGGTAGGTTAGGTAGGGTAGTGACATAGCGGTAAACACTTTTTCTTCTTACCTATCCTCTTTTTCCTTTTTATTTTTCCCTTCTTTTCTTTCCTGCAGGGGGGAGAAGAGGCGAGAATGTACTTTCTTGCATTTGCGTATTCATCATATATTAACAAACCCCATCGCTCAGCTCCGCCCCCCTCGATTCTGAAGCTGATTTCTTTGGGTTGTTCTTAGATGAATAATTGATGATTGACTTCAACATGCCGAAATGGGCTGGGTCTACAATCTGACCGTCCCTGATCCCCACAGTCATGTCACTCGCGTCATTGCCATCTGTCTCGTTTTCTCGATCACGGCTTGTTTGGCGGTCTTCTTGAGGTTGTATATTCGCATTCATACAAAGAGGTCCGCCTGGTTGGATGATTTTGCGGCGCTATGGAGTGCCCTGTTGGCGATGACGTATGCTGGGATTGCTGTTGCGCGTGAGACATCCCATTCTTCTCTCCACCATGTTGATATACTAGATATACTGATGTTGGTTTGGGTAGAAACAAGATGGGGTCTAGGTCTAGATGCGAAATACTTCCCTGATCAGAACGTGGTCATGTTCAGCAAGGTACATACATCCCCATCCCAACTTACATCATCAACCTGAATAAATGGAATGGCTAATGATGTATGTAGATCCAATACGCCGGTGGCCCCGTCTACACCCTTGCATTACTCGGATTCAAAGTCTCCCTGCTGTCATCGTACCTGCGCATTGGGGGCTTCGTGCAGGCGTACCGCGTGACGATCATCGTGGCTATTGTGGCGGTGACCTGCAATCAATTGGTGTTTACTTTCTTGCTGTTGTTTGCTTGCAATCCGGTATGTTCCCCCACCTTCCCTTTTATCAGATAATGAGTATATGTGCTAATGTATGTGTGTGTGTAGGTTGCTCGTCAATGGGATACAAGTCTCCCTGGATCATGCATAGATACGGTAGCGTCTTATTATGGTATGCCCTCCCATACACCCAATATATACATGATATACTAACAATGAACCAGCTCTCGCAGGTAAGCACCACCACGTATCTACATCAGGAGAATGGAAACTAAGAAAAACAGGAACTAGTCTCGGCTTCGACATAATCATAATCGCCCTGCCCCTCCCCGTCCTCCTCACTCTCCAACTGCGTCTTCGCCAGAAGGTACATCCCCTCCCTGCCTCCTACTTCTATTCCCATAACCCCAACTAACAAGAAATATATAGGTAGCCCTAGTCGGCGTCTTCGCCCTCGGCTTCTTCATAACAATAATCCAAATAATCCGGATCTTCACAATCAAGAACCTAAAAACCTACACAGACAGCCAACCCATCGTCATCTGGTCGGATGTGGAAATCAGCTTGGGCGTATGTCCCCATCCAATCCCCCACTCTTATCTCAATTCATACTGATGTTTATTGATAATGGTAAAGGTAATAATAACCTGCATCCCAACCTACGGCCCGTTCTTTCATGCCTTCGCATCCACCCTCAGCTCCAGCTACAACAACAACCGCACACATACCACCAACAACACGTACAATAACCCGCATAATACCTACGCTACGCTGACGTATTTGACGTCGCCGACGACGACCACGAGTATGTCGTATCCGTTGCGAAAGACGCAGACGAGGAATACCACTGCTAGTTCGATAGTCACCAATAACGGGGGTCGGAAGAAAAGTCGTGATCTGGTGGATGCGAGTTTAGATGAGGTTGCTCGGGGCTTGGGCATGGGTGGATTGGGACTGGGGCTGGAGAGTGGGATGTTGTTTGGGACGAGTGCGAGTGAGGAGGGGAGATCGGTGAGGAGTAGGAGTCGGAGTCGGAGTCGCAGTCGGAGTAGTTGTGGTGGTGGTGGTGGTGGGAGAGGGAGGAGTTGTAGTCCGAGTGGTGGGTATGGAGGGGTGTGGGATGGGAGCGGGGTGGCGCCGACGACGACGACGATTTGTAGTTTGCCGGCTGTGGCGAGGGTGAGGGAGGGAGGGTTTGGGGGTGGTGGTGATGAGGATATGTTGGAGGCGGGAGTTGGGGGAGGGTTTGGGGTGAGTGCGGTTGGGGGTGGGAGTTCGAGTAGTATGGTTACGGGGAGTGCTGGGGTGAGTGCCAATGGCAATAGCAATGGGAATGGGAGTGGGTGGAGGATTCAGAAGATTATGGAGGTTAGGGTTGAGAGGGAGTGATCTCTCTCTCTTTCTCTATTGGTATTAATGGAGTAATATGGGTATAACGAGATATGACTTCTAAATGATGCTTGCTTACTTCAGGCTAGATACAACAGTCAATATATCAACTCACTTGCCAACCAATCCCTTCAGGTTGATACTCTTCGGTCGCTCGATCGGCAGTCCCAAGGCCCGGTCCCAGATCAACTGCACCAAGGGTCCCAGGGCCCGACTCACGCCGAAGGTTACCGTGTAGTACAGCGGCTGCTGGAAACCATAGTGGTAGAACAGCACGCCAGAGGCGGCGTCCACGTTGGGGTGGGGGTTCTTCGTCTATGATGTGTTAGTCTGATACTGAGAAAGTGGTGGACAGGTACATACCTTTCCATGCTGCGTCAGCACCTCCGGCGCAATCTCCGAGTTCTTCTTGACCAGCTGGAACACTGGGTTCGCCTGTACGTCTGCCCGTGTCGCCGCAAAGTCCATCAATGCCTCGAATCGCGGGTCCGGCTTGCGCAGCACGCCGTGTCCGTAGCCCGGCACCACCCGTCCCGACTTCAACGTGTCCCAGAGGTACGTGCGCACCGACTCGTCCGTCACCTGAGTGCCAATCTTCTCCTGCATCGCCAGAATCCACCGCAGCACCTCCTGCGCCGCCAGTCCGTGCAGCGGGCCGGCCAGACCAAGCAGTCCTGCGCTGTAGCTGAGGAACGGGTCGCTGAGGGCACTGCCCACCAAATGCGTCGCGTGCGCCGAGACGTTGCCGCCCTCGTGGTCGCCGTGCAGCGCCAGGTACAATCGCAGCAGGTCGTGGAAGTCGCTATGCTCGGCTCCGCCCTTGCCCAGCAGTTCGGCAAAGTTGTGCGACCAGTCCTGTGTCGCGTCAAGAGCCTGTGTGCCGACCTGGTCGATCTCGTTCGGTCTGAACACCAAAGCAGCCACACGTGGAATCTTAGCCAGCAGCGAAATGCTGTCGTCGAATGTGGGCTCCCAGTAGTCTGCCTTGTTCAGGCCGCGCTCGTACTCCTTGGCGAAGGTCGACTCCGTGTTCAGTGCTGCAACCGCCACCGACAGCTGCGTCATGGGGTGCATATCCTTGGGAAATGACTTGATCAGGCCCAGGATGTGGTCGGGGAGGTGTGATTTCTCGGCAAGCTCGCGAGAGAATGCGCGCACCTGGCTGGTGGTGGGAACCTGGCCGGTCAGGAGCAGCCAGAACATGGCCTCCGGGAGCATTTCAGTTCCCGTGGTCCCCTTGGGCAGTTCACGTTGGCAATCCTTGATGGTCTTGCCGTGGAAACGGATACCCTCCTCGGGGTCGAGAACGGATCCCTCCCAGAGCATGGACTTCAGGCCGCGCATGCCGCCGATGATGTTGCCCACCTTGACTTCGCCGACCACATCGTCGCTGCGGGCCTTGACTTGCTTGAAGAGCTCGCGTTTCTCGGGAATGACGGATTTCAGGGCGGTTTTAAGATCGGATTCGGTGCTGTAGAACCGGCCGGAACGGATCTTGGCCTGGGGTTGTCAGCAATGATAGGCAAGCTATCAAGGGGGAGGGGCGTACCTGTGCCAGCCGGCTGGCATGACGGGTTGTTGGACGTATCGGCAGGGAGAAAGACATGATAAGAGTTCTGGGAGGCTGAATGTGCAAGCAAAGACGAGAAAGAGAAGGGATTATGTGCAAAGAGCAGAGTACAAAGCAGAGTCAGGAGAAATTCACCCGGGAGGAGGGCGAGAGGCCGTCGGTTGGCCGCGGTGTTGAGGAGCCGAGGCAAGGAACGGCTGCATGCGGACGGTCAACACAATCAGCCATAAGCAGTCAGCGTCTATCCACCCTCAATTGTTGCACATCCTCACCGCCGATGCGAGACCGAGCCGGCTGTCGGACTAAATCGGTAGTGTGCAGTAGAGCGCGCGCTGCTCTTTTAGTTATCATCATGGTGTAATTAGATCCATTTGGCTGCAGATCCCGTGTCGCCGTGCCTCGGGGGGACCTCTGTGAGGGGTCGATCGTAGACTGCGGCGAGGCGACATCGGGGCAGAGGGAGATCCAACCGAAAGAGCAGAGGAGTTGAGTTTGTCCCATGCATTCCCTTCACAAGGCCATGGGAATGTGACGATGGATGTTCGGGACAGCAAAGGGAAGAAGGGGAAGCTGATCCTCCCATTTGCAAGTTGCAACTCAGTGGATGCGAGACTCCATTTTTGGTCCGCCGAGTGGAGCCCCCGTGCGGGGTAAGCCCAATCGGGCAACGGCGGCGTTATGGCAGCCTGAGGCATAAGGAGCTGAGATTCAGGCAGAAATAATCTCAAACTGACACCTGATATATAAGGCAATAAGGGTAAAGATGACACCTAGTATATCAGGCAGGCAAGGGATCAACACCGCCACAGCTCAGCCACGCGTGCCTGGATGATAGGCTGTCAGCCCCTCGCCTCAGGCAGAGATTTCATCGCCGCCCGATCCAATGGGCCGCCGCCTAAAAATCCTCAGGCTCGTTATCGGCCCCGCCTCCATCTTGTTTTTCCTCTTTGCGCTCGCCTTTCAACTTCCCTCGCCTCGCCTCTCCTCTCTCCCCCAAATCTCCCCTCTTTGTTTCTTCTTCTCCTTGTTGTATACCCCGTTCTGTTTCTCTGTTTATACGCATCCTCGCCGAGGATTGCCCACTAAAAGTTTTGGTCTCTTTTCTTTTTTTCGTCCTTTTCTTTTCCGCTTTTTTTTTCTCAGCCTGCCCGCCGCCCCGGCCGGTGTGAGAGGCCCCAGAACCCCAAACCCACAGATCCTACGATATCATGCCTCATCCTGAAGATCCTACTCCAGCCATGACTACCGTCGTTTCCAAGACCCCCTCCGGCGTCCCTCCCACTGCGGATGAGGTCAACTCCATCCTGAACACCATCTTCCAGGCTGAGACCTCTCAGCAGGCGCTCGATGCCTCCTACGCCCTCACCAACCTGTTGATCCAGAGTGTCGGCTGCTCCGGTTTCCGTACATACAACATCCTGCCCCCGATCAAGAAGGCTGCTACCGACAAGAAGAATGGCGCCCTCCGCGAAAGTTCCATGCTCATTTTGGGCGCCCTTTTCGAGCGATTCCCCCGCGAACACCCTCTGAGCGAAGTCGTCTTCCTTCTGCAGGACGGCGGTGTCCTGAACCTGGCCCTCGATCTGCTGGCCGATAAGGGTGCTGTTGTGCGCGATGCTGCTCAGTACGCTATCGATGCGCTGTTTGCCTGCCTCAAGCCCGAGGCTTTGGTCAACGCCCTTCTTCCCGCCCTCTCCGCCTATCTCAATCAGAACACGGCCAAGTGGCAGGGTTTCGTCGGCGCCTACAGCCTCATCGAGAAGATGGCTACCAAGTCGCAAATGGGCACTGGATCCCTGGACGAGGAGCGCGAGAAGGACCTTTTGCGCGAGGCCATGGGCAAGACCCTGAAGGATCTGATCCCGTTGGTCGAGTCCGGCATGCACGATTTGAAGAACGAGGTCGCTAAGAAGGCCATCAAGGCTATGAATGCTCTCACTACTCTTCTGTCCAACGACGACGTGGCTCCCCGCATTCCCCTTTTGATCAAGACCATGGAGCAGCCATCCGAGCAGACCTTGCAGAAGGCCATCCACGCCCTGTCCCAGACTACCTTCGTCGCCATCGTCACCTCCCCCGTTCTCGCTCTGCTCACGCCTCTGCTCGAGCGTTCTCTTAACGCCCCCACGACTCCCCAGGAGACCCTGCGTCAGACTGTCGTCGTCGTGGAGAACCTCACCAAGCTTGTCCACGACCCCGCTGAGGCTCGTACTTTCCTACCCAAGCTGAAGCCCGGTGTCCAGCGCGTCAAGGACCGTGCTTCCCTGCCCGAAGTTCGTGAGCTCGCCACTCGTGCTTTGGATGTCATCGAGAAGGCCATGGCCGATAAGGATGTGGCTGCTGGTGTGGTTGTAAAGATCACCCCGGAGGAAGTCCTGGCCGTGCTGGAGGCTAAGATCCAGGAGCACGGCGGCCTGGCCCGCCCTGAGGACGCCACCTTGTTTGCTCTGGGTAAGAACTATGTCGCCGAGATGGTTCGCGAGGATGTCAACTGCCGCATGCACGACCGTATTCCCGCCTGCATTGCCCCGTACCTGCGCGGTCTGCTGCACGAGGACAAGCACGACGCTGTCGCCGCCGCCGTCCAGGAGCACTTCGTCGAGGAGGACCACCGCAAGTTCGGCAAGCCCATTCCCGACGACCCCAACGAGGTCGAGATCGTCAACGCCAACTTCTCTCTGGCCTACGGTGGTATGCTTCTGCTGTCCCACACCAACCTTCGTCTGCTGAAGGGTCACCGCTACGGTCTGTGCGGTCGCAATGGTGCTGGTAAATCGACGCTCATGCGCAGTATCGCCAACGAGAAGCTGGAGGGCTTCCCCCCGCAGAGCGAGGTTCGTACCTGCTTCGTCGAGCACAACCAGGGCGAGGATGCCGATCTCAGCATCTTCGAGTACGTCTCCAAGGATCCCATGATTGCTGCCGAAGGCGAGGAGCACATCCGTAGCGTGTTGCTCGAGTTCGGCTTCACGGACGGTCCCGAGGGCCGTCAGAACCAGCGCGTGGGCTCCCTGTCCGGAGGTTGGAAGATGAAGCTCGCTCTGGCGCGTGCCATGCTGCGCAAGGCGGACGTCCTCCTGCTGGACGAACCTACTAACCACTTGGATGTGGCCAACGTCAAGTGGCTCCAGGAGTACCTGAAGAAGCACACTGATATCACCAGTTTGATCGTCTCTCACGACTCCGGCTTCCTCGATGAAGTCTGCACGGATATCTACCACTACGAACAGAAGAAGCTGGTCTGCTACAAGGGTAACTTGGCTGAGTAAGTACTCCGTGTCGTTGATGTATACAACACACTAACAGTAGACAGTTTCGTCAAGGTCAAGCCCGAGGCCAAGAGTTACTACACCCTCTCGGCGAGCATCGTACAATTCAAGTTCCCTCCCCCCGGTATTTTGGCTGGTATCAAGTCCAATACTCGTGCCATCCTCCGCATGACCAACTGCACCTACACCTACCCCGGCGCCAGCAAGCCTTCTCTGAGTGATGCGTCCCTGTCTCTGACTCTGTCGTCCCGTGTTGCTATCATTGGTGGTAACGGTGCCGGTAAATCGACCTTCATCAAGATGCTTACGGGTGAAACCATCCCTCAGACCGGTAAGGTCGAGAAGCACCCCAACTTGCGTATCGGTTACATCAAGCAGCACGCCCTGGAGCACGTCGAGATGCACCTGGAAAAGACCCCCAGCCAGTACCTTCAGTGGCGTTACGCCAACGGTGACGATCGCGAGGTGTACCTCAAGCAGACCCGTATCCTCACCGAGGAAGACAAGGCTCAGCTGGCGAAGCCGGTAGACCTGGGTGATGGCCGTGGACCTCGCCGTATTGAGGCGCTCATGGGTCGTCAGAAGTGGAAGAAGTCCTTCCAGTACGAAGTGTAAGTATTTATCGAACTCTTAACACTGTTCATCGCTAATTTTTGCAGTAAATGGGTTGGCCTTCTTCCCAAGCACAACACCATGATCTCCCGCGAGACCCTGCTCAACCTCGGCTTCTTCAAGCTCGTCCAAGAGTTCGACGACCACGAGGCGTCCCGCGAGGGTCTTGGTTTCCGTGTGCTCGACGCCAAGGTCATCTCGAAGCACTTCGAGGACATTGGTCTGGATCCCGAGATTGCCAACCACAACGAAATTTCCGGTCTGTCCGGTGGTCAGAAGGTTAAGGTCGTGTTGGCGGGTGCTATGTGGAACAACCCTCACTTGCTCGTCCTGGACGAGCCGACTAACTTCTTGGACCGTGACTCCCTGGGTGGATTGGCTGTGGCCATCCGTGACTTCAAGGGTGGTGTCGTCATGATCTCTCACAACGAAGAGTTCGTGGGCGCTCTCTGCCCCGAGCAGCTGCACGTCGCCGACGGTCGCATCGTCTCTCGCACCAACACCGCCATCTCGCTCGACCGGTTCGAGGACAGCGCTGCCAGCTCTCCTCAGCCTGGCAGCACGGCCGTCAACTCCACTGCCACGAGTGCGGCTGCCTCGGCCGTCAACTCGGGAGCGGAGGAGCAGGGCGAGCTGAAGTTCAAGGCTAAGAAGAAGAAGAAGCTCACCCGTGCTCAGCTGAAGGAGCGTGAGGCCCGCCGCCGTCTCCGTCATCTTGAATGGTATGTCTCACCCTCCTGTTCTAAAGTACTTCTCCCTTACTGACTCTCGCAGGCTCCAATCGCCCAAGGGCACCCCCAAGCCCCCGGATACTGATGACGAGGAGTAAATGCATTGTTAAGTTATGATTTTGTTTGCATCGGCAGCGGTGTGATTAGACATGTTCTGGCTTTGGTTCCTTATAGACGGCTGGTTTATTGCTTGATTAATGAAGCTTGACGAGTATATAGATGTAGACTTGCTCTGAATGAACTTTTTGCACATGACTTTCGTCTCAAATCGATAGTAAACAAATAGTTCGATGTTGTGTTACCACGTGTGTCCACGTGCCTGTGCGTCCCCGCTGCTTATACTTGCTGTTCCTGTGTGCAACTCTTTGTTTCTGCACAGGCTGGTGATCTCATCGTGAAGTCGGGAACAACCTTGCCAAAGAAAGCGGGGATGCTCAGTACGGCCTCGCTCACGTCCTTGGCAACCTCGGGGTCTCCGGAGCTGACCGACAGATTGGTATCCCCCTCATGCAACTGGCTGTGTTTCTCGATCATCCGACGAGATCGGCGGGTGGCCAATGCAGGTGCAACGCCTGCATACTACGCTGCTATTGTTCCCCTCGCAGCCCACGCGACTATTTCCATCCCCTTCCCCGCACATGAAATGACTTTTTACCCCGGAACCAAAACACTTTCACGAAAATATGGAGCGACCCAAGACCAACGTGTCCGCAGTCAGTCCGACCAGCGACAATTCTGCACACCTCGACGATGACGCGAGAAGGCTGGCGGAGATGGGCTATACCCAGGACATGCAGCGGAACTTCTCCGTGCTGTCTCTCCTTGGGGTCGCCTTCTCCCTGGCAAACTCGTGGTTTGGGATCTCCGCGTCCTTGATCACAGGCATCAACTCTGGAGGCACCGTGTTGACTATCTATGGCATCCCGTGGATCGCTTTCGTTTCGACCTGCGTTGGAGTCAGCCTGTCCGAATTGGCATCAGCCATGCCCAACGCAGGTGGCCAATACTTTTGGGCCAGTGAGCTGGCACCGAGGAAGTATGCGTCTTTCGCATCCTATCTGACCGGCTGGTTGGCTTGGGCAGGCGCCATCTTTACCTGCGCCAGTGTCGCTTTAAGCTTGGCCTCTGCTGGAGTTGGCATGTGGCAGCTAACACATCCGGACTTGTATGTTTTTATTCAAGATTGGACCACAACTTGCTGACGGTGTAGTACTCCTCAACCATGGCATTCCGTGGTAGCCTACCAGCTGGTCAACTTCTTCTCCTATCTGTTCAATTGCGTCGGCAAAGTGCTTCCCACCGTGGCCACCACAACCCTATACATCTCCCTCATCTCGTTCGTTGTCATCCTGATCACCGTTCCTGCGGCAGCTCCTACACACGGGTCGGCTGAGTTCGTCTTCGCTCACTTTGTCAACTCGACGGGCTGGCCCTCTGACGGGATTGCATTCCTCGTGGGTCTAATCAATCCCAACTGGATCTTCGCTTGTCTTGACTCGGCCACCCATTTGGCCGAGGAAGTCGGTCAACCTGAACGTAGCATTCCCATTGCGATCCTTTGTACCGTATTGATCGGCTTTCTCACGTCGTGGACCTACTGCATCTCCATGTTTTTCAGCCTGAACAACCTCGATGAGATCCTCAATACTCCGACCGGCGTGCCCATCCTCGCTCTGTATTACCAAGCCTTGCAGAACAAAGCGGGCGCCATTGTGCTCGAGACGTTGCTTTTTGTCACCGGTATCGGATGCCAAATTGCCTGTCATACCTGGCAATCCCGCCTATGCTGGTCCTTTGCACGAGACCGGGGCCTACCCATGTCATCGTTCCTCTCCCAGGTTCATCCCACGCTGGATGTGCCACTGAACGCGCATAGCGTGAGCTGCTTCATAGTGGGTCTTCTGGGGCTGCTGTACCTTGGTTCGTCGACCGCCTTCAACAGCATGGTCACTGCGTGCATTGTGTTACTCTATGCCTCGTACGTGGTGCCGATTGTCTGCTTGCTGTGGCGTGGACGGGATAATCTCAAGCACGGTCCCTTCTGGCTGGGGAGACTCGGCTTGGTGTGTAATGTTGTGGTTCTAGCATGGACCTTGTTCTGCCTGGTTATATATTCCTTCCCCTCGGTATATCCGGTTACCACGGGCAGTAAGCCGCCCCAAAGCAACAACCCCTTATCCATTTGCCTTGATATAACTACTAACTCGGTGACTATTACTAGATATGAACTATGTCTCTGCAGTATATGGGGTAGTTGCAGTGCTGATTGCCCTGGATTGGGTGTTGCGGGGACGCCGGTCCTTCCGGGGACAGACGGCGCGACACATGGAGGCGGCGGAGGCGACTCTCACTCAATAGTTATAACTACAACTAGTACTAGCTATATGTTCACTTCTTTTTATCTATTGGCGTCAACATTCTGCTCAGTATAGTTCCAAGTCAGGGTCCCAGCAAAAGTACGGTCCAGATCATGATCGGCCCGCAACGTCGTAAGCCATCAGATGGACGCCATCGTGATTGGCCAACCGCGGGGCGGGTGCCTTGAAATGATGGCTCGTATCATTACTCTTTTGCGCCCAGCTTTCTCCACGTCTGGCCATTCCCATCCACTCTCTTGCCATCCCAATCTCCCCTTTCTCCCTCCTGGCCTGGTCCCTTCTTTTTTTCTCTTTCTTCCTCCCCTTGCTTCCTCTCGAATCTGGAATCTATTCCAATGCTCCTATCCCCGTAAGGCACCATGCCGCTCCCCTTTCGGGACAACTCTTCCTCCGGCAGGAAATCCTCCCAGCAACAACGCTATACCCCCCTACATGAATCTATCCCCGAAGAGGTCCACGATGACCGCCGCTACTCCGAAACCTTTACCCTCTCCGACCTCTCCGATCCAGACCTTGATGAGGACTCCCGCATAAAGCTCCGCCGCGTTGACAACGCCAAGAGGTCCAACGAGGCCTCCGCCTACGCTAACCGCCGCTCCACCGATGTCGAAGCATACCTGGATAGCATTACCGAGGCGGAACAAGAGCTACTGGCAGCGGCGAGACAGTACGAGCTCACTGATGACAGCGACGATGGAGATTACACCGTGAAGAAGAAGGGACATCACCGGAGAACTTCCTCTTTCCGGAGACATACTCCCCGCACCGGATGGCGGGCATACTATTATTCTCGATGGCTGTGGCGGACGCTGGTCGTTATTTTCGTCGCACTGGGTATGATGGTCTGGGCATTCTTGAATTTGGCTTGGTCGGAAGATGAGTTTGAACGGGTTCGTTTGATATACCTGAGTTAGTGGGTGTGATGCTGATGTCTGTAGGATATGACGCCGGCGGAGTCTTGGTTTCCTACGCCAAAGGGAGGCGCGCTCGAAGAATGGGCAGAAGATTATAGGAAAGCGGAGGCACTAGTCAGCCAGATGACCCTTATCGAGAAGATCAACATCACTACCGGCATTGGATGGCAAATGGGGCTTTGTGTCGGGAATACAGGTATGTCAGGTTGAAGGCTATGGATGATAGTTACTAACTGCTCAGGCTCCGCCGATTTGGTCAAGTTCCCCTCGCTGTGTCTACAGGACGGTCCCCTCGGATTGCGTTACGCCGACCTCATTTCTGCCTTCCCCGCCGGTATTACAACAGGAGCGACCTGGAACAGAGATCTGATCCGACAGCGCGGTGCGGCTCTGGGAGAGGAGGCTCGGTTAAAGGGCGTCAACGTGTTGCTGGGCCCGTCAATGGGCTCCCTCGGCATGATGCCTGCGGGCGGTCGCAATTGGGAATCGTTTGGCTCGGACCCTGTGCTGCAGGGTGTCGCCGCGGCGGAGACCATTCGCGGCATCCAGAGCAACGGCGTCATGGCCACTGCCAAACATTACATTTTGAACGAGCAAGAACATTTTCGGCAGCCAAATGAGTGGGGAATCCCCTCAGCCATGTCGTCCAACGTCGGCGACCGTGCTTTGCACGAGGTGTTTGCCTGGCCGTTTGCCGAGAGTATCCGGGCTGATGTGGCCAGCGTCATGTGTGCGTACCAGATGGTGAACAACAGCCATGCTTGCGAGAACAGCAAGCTGCTGAATGGTATTCTGAAGGATGAGATGGGCTTCCAGGGATTCGTGCAGTCGGACTGGTTGGCCCAGCGGTCAGGTATCAACAGCGCCCTAGGGGGTCTGGACATGAGTATGCCGGGTGATGGTCTCCACTGGGCGGACGGAAGGTCCTTGTGGGGACCAGAGCTGACCCGCGCAGTGTTGAACACCTCCGTCCCGATGGACCGGTTGAACGACATGGTGACCCGTATTGTGGCCTCCTGGTACCATCTTGGCCAGGACTTGTGGCCTCGGCCTGCTCCGGACGGTGATGGCGGGCCTACCTTTTCCTCGTGGACCAACGATGAGGTCGGATGGTTGCACCAAGGGTCTCCGGATGACGAGGCCTACGGTATCGTGAACCGGTTTATCAATGCTCAGGGCGAAGGCGAGAATGCACACTCCATCATTGCTCGCAAGGTGGCGGCCGAAGGCATCGTGATGGTGAAGAATGACCAGAACACACTGCCATTGTCCCGCCGGCCAGTGAGCCCATCCGGTGGTCCCTATCGGGTGGGCGTGTATGGCGATGACGCCGGACCGGCCGGGGGACCCAACGCCTGCCCAGACCGGGGCTGCAACCAGGGTACTCTGGCCATGGGCTGGGGTAGTGGCACGGTAGAGTTTCCCTACCTAATCAGTCCGATTGACGCTCTGAATACCGCCTGGGCCACCGAGATCGACATGCACTCGTACATGCGGAATGCCGTGATGCCCGCCGATGCTGCCGACCGAGATCTATGTCTGGTGTTTGCGAACGCTGACTCTGGCGAGGGATACATCTCTTCGGGCGGCATTAACGGCGACCGCAGCAACCTCTTCCTGCAGAAGGGCGGCGATTCGTTGATCAAGACGGTAGCCAACAACTGTGGCGGGCCGACCGTGGTGGTGGTGCACGCCGTGGGCCCGGTAGTTGTCGAGTCGTGGATTGACCTTCCAGGGGTCGCCGCAGTTCTGTTCGCGCATCTGCCCGGACAAGAAAGTGGCAACGCTCTGGTGGACGTGCTGTTCGGTGAGGTCGATGCCAGTGGCCGGCTGCCGTACACAGTGGGTAAGAGGCTCGCCGACTACGGGCCAGGCGCGCAGGTGCTGTACGAGCCTAATGCTCCGGTTCCCCAAGTCGACTTTACGGATGGACTGTACATTGACCACCGTTATTTCGACCGTCACAATATCACGCCGCGGTTCGAGTTTGGATATGGGTTG